TATCAAAGGCTAAAAATAATAGTATATGAGGATAAGGCAGGCATTTTAGGAGACTGGCAAAGTTTTGCAGTAGGCTCTGCAGAGTATGTGAAAACATTACTTAGAAAGTAGAAGCTTCTAGGCAGTTATAAAAGTTCGATGGAAGTAAGAGGTCATGCATTGATATTAGCATCCATTTACAAGGTTGTATAATTCTTCCTAACGATGCTTGGCAGTGTGTGAGCATGTACAGAAAAAACATTCATCCAGGACTATAGATTGATAGGTTAGAAGAATAAAGGGAACTGAGAAGGCTGGTGAAAGTTAAAAATAGGACAATTAAGAATAAAGCATGTGATTGTAGGACTTGATGATTGTGATTACATACTTAAATGAGTAAAGAAGTCAGAGATCAAAGCAGGAAACGAGGGGGAGTTTTGGTCAAAACAAGATTTCCAAATGCAGGATTTCAAAATAACAGAGTACAGAGGAGTATGGCAATAGATACCTAATCAGTCTGCTACTGGTCTTAGCCTCCTCTCCAACCCATCCTCTACACTGCCTGAAACCTGGTATTTCTAAGTTGAAAGTCTGATCATCTCTCCCCACCCTCATGCCTCAATCCACCAGATGAACTCAATCATAAGCCAGTTCAAGAAGTCTTATCACCTCTCCTATCCTGATAAGTTAATACACACTTCCTCTATACTTTATCCCTTTGCTCAATCTTAAACAAGTTTTTATAGTTTTCCTTCACACACTGTTTTACTTTATAAGTCCGGTTCCCCCACTAGATTCTGAGTTCCATGAAAGCACCAATCAAGTATTATCATCTTTTAAGCCATATTTCAACAATCTTACTGATAAATTCAACAAGTAGAAGTATAGATTCTGGCATTTCTTGTTCGCTTATGCTTGTATCAACACTTTTAATGATGATATATTTGAGGAAACTCTTTAGGCTACTTGTCCATTACTGTGAAGTTTTATTTAAATAGGTAATCTACAAAGACATGGAACCAGTCACATGTATTATGTGACCATATCAGTAAACAAAGTATTAATTTCAACTCTTTCAAGTTGTGGAATTCCCACTCTTCCCATAAGATATTTCATTTACAGTTTGTGACATGTATCTATCGATAAATGCAAGGTGGGAACACCAGTGTCAACCCATATTTTTTAAAAAGTAATGAAACAAAATTGTCTGTTTATTAGATAAAAATATATGCAAACCAAACTTCTAATGTATATTTTTGCACAGCAGTGGATCATCTTGCACACCCCATGAAGTTTGGATATCATTGGTCTAAACATAAGGTAATGAACTATCTGCCAGCCACTACAAAAAAACAAATTAAAATACATATCATACTACCTAAAATGTCATTTTTATAAAGAATTTTTTCATTTTTAAGCTGAAAACTTTGGGGAGAATTTCAGATATTCAGCACTTTGTATTAACTTTAAAAGATTGCTTTCCTAATACCTTGAACTAGTGGAGTAAGAAGTTACTATGGGGGACAGAAAAAGAAAGCATTAAAAGGTGATCTGAAATCCTTACAGAAAAGCCAAGCCTCCAAATTAAAATTCAGGTTACTAGGCACAGCTGGAAGTGAACATTTAAAAGCACTCTGGACTCCCCTTGGTATTTCATCATACTTATAACTACTTATTCAATTTCTGTCTCATCAGTTCAGTTCAGTCACTCAGTCATGTCCAACTCTTTGTGACCCCATGAACCACAGCAAGCCAGGCCTTCCTGTCCATCACCAACTCCCAGAGTCCACCCAAACCCATGTCTATTGAGTCAGGGATGCCATCCAACCATCTCATCCTCTGTCATCCCCTTCTCCTCCTGCCCTCAATCTTTCCCAGCATCAAGGTCTTTTCAAATGAGTCAGCTCTTCCCATCAGGTGGCCAAAGTACTGGAGTTTCAGCTTCAGCATCAGTCCTTCCAATGAACACCCAGGACAGATCTCCTTTAGGATGGACTGGTTGGATCCCCTTGCAGTCCAAGGGACTCTCAAGAGTCTTCTCCAACACCACAGTTCAAAAGCATCAATTCTTTGGTGCTCAGCTCTCTTTATAGTCCAACTCTCACATCCAAACATGACCACTGGAAAAACAATAGCCTTGACTAGACGGACATTTGTTGACAAAGTAATGCCTCTGCTTTTCAATATGCTGTCTAGGTTGGTCACAACTTTCATTCCAAGAAGTAAGCATCTTTTAATTTCATGACTGCAATCACCATCTGCAGTGATTTTGAAGCCTAGAAAAATAAAGTCAGCCACTGTCTCCCCATCTGTTTGCCATGAAGTTATGGGACCGGGTGCCATGATCTTAGTTTTCTGAATGTTGAGTTTTAAGCCAACTTTTTCACTCTCCTCTTTCACTTTCATCAAGAGGCTCTTTAGTTCTTCACTTTCTGCCAGAAGAGTGGTGTCATCTGCATATCTGAGGTTACTGACATTTCTCCCAGCAATCTTGATTCCAGCTTGTGCTTCCTCCGGCCCAGCGTTTCTCATGATGTACTCTGCATATAAGTTAAATAAGCAGGGTGACAATTGTACCCTTGATGTACTTGCCTTGATGTACTCCCTTTCCTATTTGGAACCAATCCGTTGTTCCTTGTCCAGTTCTGTCTCATGGGATTAGTTATAAGCTCCCATGAGAGCAAGGGCTGTCTGCCTTGTTACCTGCTATATTCCCAGTCATACGAACAATGCCATGTGCACACAGGAGATGTTCAAAAAATAGTTACTAAATGAATGAATGAAATGGTACAACTGAAGTTTCAATTAAGAAACTAATCCACGAGAACAACAAAAAATAAGTGCTAAACACTAAGCTTTCAGGTATTCTTACAGCACATCCATCAGAAGTGTCAGCAAAACAGAATGAGAAAGTCCAGGAGAGAGCAGAGAAACCATGAAACAATAAGGCCCTGGAAAGGGGTGTGTTTGTTATTGGGAAGAGGCTGGGTACAGTCACTGTGGAAGTTTGAGAAAAGGCTGTTTGATTTGTCAGGAAGATAACTGGCAACTTCAGGAGTTGTTTAGGTATAGTTACAGAAGTGGAAACCAACTACATGGAATTAGGTAGGAAATTCTAAGATGGTAAGGAAATAAAAACAACACACTAGTCTTAATGAATTTACCAGTGAAACAAGAGAAACAGTATTATAGAGGGCTCAACAGGAGCACATGAAGGTTTTTTTCAAGTCAGCATATCTACAAGTTTGAAGAAGAGGATTCAGAGTTTTTTCCTCTCATGGTGAAGGCAGGCGGTTGTTGAGATCACTTTGTAGAAATGGACAGAAAATATGACAAAACACACTTACTGGGAAGACAGACATCTGCAAAGAGATACAGTGTTTTCCACGTAAAAGTCTAAATTGGACAATAAATAAAAAATTCCTGATTATATATTTCCTTGCCCATATTTTTGGCAAGATAAGTTGAGAAGAGAGATGGGGTAGATTCATTCTTTTGTAGTTACCTTAGAAAGAAGTGGCTGTTTCTGTTATCACCACAAAGAATACAACTATTTGTATGCTATCTACTCTTCCTTGTAATACTTTGGAACGAATTTTTGTGCCTTTAACACGGCCACTACTGCCGTGACTGCTCTTTCAGTAAAACACTAAGCATGAATGTGAACTCATTTCATTGCCTGCTGGGCCTGCATTTTTCCAGCTCTAATGTAACACAAGGACACTGCGACACACACACAAAAATAGCCTTTTCTTTGAAATAATAACGTCTCTGCCTCCGTTCTTGCACCTGTTTCAATCAGTTCAAGCATACACTGTATCCTTAAAGCTTTTTTAGAAGATACTTGGAATTGCAGGGTTTTGAACAGATTTCACATCATATTCCCATTAGTTACTAAAATTCACATCATATTCTCATTAGTTATTAACATTCGCCTCGCTAAATCGTTCAGCATTATTCTCTCTCACTCACCCTCTTTATACTTCTTTGCGTCCTCCATCCCGCACTTGGTGACTTGGGGGCCGTATTCTGCACCAAGTAGGCACCTAGTGTTGGTTGTGTAGCCCAGCGTGTCCACGGTCACTCAGTCACAAAGCCCTTGCGGAAGCACATAGAAACAGAACCGGCCCCGGGAATGGGAGCTGTCCCTGAAAGTCGTCGAATAACCGAACTGAGAGCTTCCTGAGGGCAGGCACAATCTTGTTCAGCACGGTGTCTGAAGCACAGGATTCAGTTCTGGTACAAGATGGATAGTTGATAATGCCGAATAAATGAAAAACAGGTTCGGTGGGAACATTTAACTTCAACTCTATTCTGCAAACGTAGCCGAGTGCCATCCAGGCGTCAGGGAACCAGTAGGGCGCGGGTGCTTCAAGATGACAGGGAACTGTTGGTTCTAATTTCACATACTGTAATTCTATGCCACAATTTCCATATTTTCACTTAAAACGGGGAGTTTGGGTTCTCTCTGCTCGCGGTTCCCAGGGGCTTAAGTACAAACACCGAGCGCCACAGCCGCCCGGAGGCGCGCCCCTAGCAACGAACGCAACCCTCCCCCCAGCGGAACTGGCGGAGCACCGGGCGCATTCAGCCGCTCAGCCGCGGCGCTCCTGAAGGGGTCGCTGTTCCCGCGATAACCTGTATAAAGGCCCCGCCCCGAGGCCCGCTCCGGCTTCCTCCGTTGGGGACCCGGCCCGGCAAGGCCCGGGCCCTGCTCTGTGTCTTGCAAGCCCACCGCGAAGCTCGCCGACGTTAGCGGCATCACTCCAGGCGACACAGGCCCTGGGTCTCGGTCGCTGCCGCCTGGACGCGCGGCCGGCTTCGAGGCGGTTGTTCTCTCCCCTCGCCCCACCCTCTCTCTCCCCCTTCACGGAAACGACAGCTGCGGCGGCGGGGCTGGCGCCGCCTCCCTCCACCTACCACGTCTGCCCCCGCCACTCTCGCCCGGCGCCCCAGCCCGGCCGCGGCGCCTCCGTCTCCCCGCTAGGTCAGCCGGCTGCTCCGCCCGGCTGACGCCCAGGATGAACATCATGGACTTCAACGTGAAGAAGCTGGCGGCCGACGCGGGCACCTTCCTCAGTCGTGCAGTGCAGGTACCGCGGCGGGAAGAAGGGGTGGCGACGCCCGGAAGGGACGGGGAGGGGTCGTCCGAGACAGCCGCGCCCTCTGCACCCGGCTTCGCCGACCGCCCGACTGGCCTGCCGCGGCCGGAGGCCCGGGTGATGGGCGCGGCCTTGTGCCCCTCTGGGCCTGGCGGCGGTTTTCCTCCTTCTTGCCCAACCGCCGCTCCCGGGGAAGCGAGGCAGAGTGGAATCAGGGCCCGGAGCTTCCTCCTTTCTCTGGAGGACACCTTGAGTTCGGCTTCGGGCCGAGGCACGGCACCGCCGGCCTTTCTGACCCCAGGGCGCCGCCGCTCGTGTGCCCTCCCTCCCCGGGCGGGCGGAGGCTTTGCGAGTCCGCGGTGCCGTCGAGACCATTCTTGCACCACCCCCACCTTTTCATTTCGTCTCCTTCTCTCCTCGCCGAGTTCCAGAAGGAAGTTTCCTTTTCCTGCCCCTCAACCCAGGGAGCTGCCAACGCAGTTCCCTGCCGTCCTCTCCCCCTCAGAGGAAGGTTCCCGGTCTTGGCTGTCCGTGGCAGAAATGGAGATCGCCAGTTGGCGTCCAGACTTTGCCAAAGCCCCAGAGCTTGGGGGGCTTCCTCTCACTTTCGAAATGGGAAGCGCTGACCATAGGACAGTGAGCGAAAATTAGATTCATGTTGTGCTTATAGTCACAGGGACATTTTTCAAGTAACACTCTAAGGGGAGAAGTTGACTGTCTCGTGGTATTCAGAAATAAAGGAAGTGTCGGTACTAGGGAACTTGGACAGTTTTCTACAGTCATCACCCACATTATGCCAACTAAGTTAAATCTACGAGCAGATGTAAATTTCACCACAACACGGGTTGTAAACAGTCTGGTGTTTTAAGTTAATGACAGTCACAGTAGCAACAAAATTCTCTTTTGTAAAGAAAAAACAAAAATAGTTTTCTTATGTAATATGCCAAGTTGAAATGTAAATCATGTGTATTGCATTATTACTTTCCTTGTCCCCTTTACTCCAGTTTTATTGGTATAGTTGATCTTACACTGCACCGTTTTTGGCAAAGAATGGTAGAACTAGATCAGGGTAATGGCTGCCAATATTGTGAGCTTTTGGTGGTGTTTTAGTGCTGATTCCCTGTGATTCTAGGTGCTGAATGCAGATTTGGCACTAGGTAATGCCACTCTTTTCAATACAGCTAGAGGGACTTCCCTGGCAGTCCAGTGGCTAAGACTACATGCTTCCATTGCAGGGGGCACAGGTTAGATCCCTGGTCAGGGAACTAAGATCCCACAGGCCCCAGCAGCCATAAATACATACATACATACATACATATTTCTAGATATGTTTTCAGGTACATAACCCAAACTTCTTAAATAGGACATATATATTACAAATTGATTTAAATAATTGATAGACTTGATTTTAAAAATCTGGCAAAACTCTCAAGATGTACTTTCCAAATAAGTTTCAGTTACTCATTTCAAATTTTCTAGGAAGAAGTTTTAAAAATTCTAATCTGTTATCAAATAATTTTCAGTCTTAAATACTTAAGTGCTTACTGCATGCCTGTGTGTCACTACTATTTTGGACACTAGTGTTTCATAATCACCATCATGTCTGTGCTCCTGGAGCTTACAGTCTAACAGGAAAAAACAAACTAGTAAATACATCAGGCAGTGATGTAGAAAAAGGCCAAAAGGTATAGGTTAAGGGCAGGAGTAGTGGTTGTTGCCATGATGGTAAGGGCAAGCCTTTCTAATAGGTTCAAATGCAAAAAGTGACAGATCCCAATTTTTTTGGAGTAAAAACATTTCAGGCAGAGGTAGCAAGTGTAGAATCTGAGGTTGCAGGGATATTAAGGAGACTAGTTAAGGAGCTGTGGCCGTAGGACAGGCAAAAGGTGGTAGGACTTAAATAAGAATGATAGCAGGGGTGGTTCAAAACCTAACCAGTATCGCACAGTACATTGACTCTGGAGTATGAGAGAAAGATGAGCCAAGGATGACTCTGAGGTTTGGCTTGAGCCATTTACTAAGGGAGAATTTCAGGAGGAGCAGGCTCCTTTGATACCTCTTTTTATTTTAAGTCTGTGTCTGTTAGAGGTACATTTAAAAGTATTTGTAAACTAGCATGTCTGAGAATTGCTTTAAAATGTTTCAGAAGAAGGAAGCGTGGGTAGTTGAAACAACATTGGCAAACGGTTCATACTGGGTTATGGGTTCATGAGATGTTATTATACTATTATACTTCCATGTTTGACGTTTTGTGCAATTTTTTAAAATATATAAGGAGATAAAGATGGTTCCAAAATGTAATGTGCAATTTGGAGTGCTGTGTGTAGTTTTCAACAAAACAGTGCTTTCTCATTTTGGTATTTAGCCAGTAACTGAGTTCCTACTCTAAATTGAGTTGACATCAGTGTAGTGTCAAAGTGCCAGGTTTAATGCTAAGAATAGTGTAAGAGCTAGGCCAGTTACTCAGTATAAGCAAAAAGAACAGTCAGGATGGAATTTAGCTTTGATATTTCTAAATAATTCTATTTAAATCAAATTACACCTTAAGGAATAGGCCATTCTCTGGTTAAACAACTGCCATATTCTTTCATTTTACTTACAAATTCTAACTTAAAAATTAAACATGTTCCCTATTTTAAAACATAAAATCAGACTATTTAAGTATATAAATGAGTCTCATCATTCAACTCTCACTCTTTTAAAATATGTTTTTATACATCAGTACTTTAAAAAGTAAGGTAAATGTATAAATGAATAGGGGTATATCATTCCCTAACAGTCCATTTGTGTGTTTTTGTTGTTCGTAATGCCTTCAGTAGAATACAAAAGGATCAGGTAATGTATCCTTGATAAATTGGTAAAGTGTCTTGAAAGCCATTAAAATCCTATCTTTTCAGTCCAGATTCCTTAATTGAGAATTAAATACTTCCTTTCAGCCTTGTCTTTTCTCTCCTCATGTAAAACACTGTATTTCCATCAAATTATTTTTTAATTTCAAAAATATCTTGTACTTTTCTAACTCTAGATTTCTGTTCACACAGTTAAATTCATCTTGAATGCCCTCCACTCCCTTTCTGTAACCTCTCCTTCCCTCAGAATAGAACTTGAGGTCCATCTCAGACCGCAAGAACTTGACGTGAATTCTGTGGCAATTCCTGTGTCATTCTTAAATTTTGTGTGATCATGTGGCATTTTTCTTCTAATGAATTATTATGTAGGGTCTCTGAGAGGTCTAAAATTTTGTTACTCTATGGCTTTCATGTCATTACTAAGATCATATGACCTAAGGAATCAACTCTCCATCTTATTCCCCTCTCACAGTATCCAGCATGATTTTTGTTTGTTTTTGTTTTAATTTTTATGTCATTTTAGCCAAGCAAATGGTAGCTATATGCAGAGTTTACTCTTTGAATCATTTAACATGTTAAATAATTGTTTTCATTAGTATTTTTCTAACATTATATATGCTGACCTTGGGGTTGATTTAATGCTAATCTAAAATATTAAACTCATTAATTGAACCTATATTTATTGAGTACCTCCTTAGTACTTGATATTGAAGAATACAAAGATGAATGACACCCCAGTTAGTGCCCTCAAGGACTTCATAATGTACTCTCAATTTGTCATAATTATTCTTTGTAGTAAATTTCCATTTTGTAAATTATTATTCTTCTTTTGATAAATCTTTCAATTGGGTACATTTTTAATTCAGAATTGATACTGAAGCGAAAAACTTTGCTCACCACCCTTAAATGATATATACTGTCTATATCTGTATAATATTTTCATACTAAATTACTAAAGGAAGGGAGTTCATTTTCTAACTTTGTTAACTGCTAGTTGCACTATAAAATTCACGAACACCAGCTGTTTTCTGATGAGGAAAAAGTCTCTAAACTAGTTGTAACTCTAACCTTTATCTTCCATCTAATTTAGCAAGCACAATAGTGTATCTAAGCTGGAGAAGATAAATTCTGATGCTGGCCTCCACCAACTCCTGTCAAATCCTATCTGAAAGAAATTCCACTCTCTCTCATTCCATTTCTTTTTTTTAATGAATTAATTCTGAAATTCCATTTCTCTTTTTTTTAATTAATTTATTTTAATTGGAGGCTAATTACCTTACAATATTGTAGTGGGTTTTGCCATACATTGACATGAATCAGCCATGGGTGTACATGAGTTCCCCATCCTGAACCCCCCTCACACCTCCCTCACCATCCCATCCCTCTGGGTCATCCCAGTGCTCCACCCCTGAGCACCCTGTCTCATGCATTGAACCTGGACTGGTGATCTGTTTCACATATGGTAATATACATGTTTCAGTGCTATTCTCTCAAATCATCCCACCCTCGCCTTCTCCCACAGAGTCCAAAGTCTGTTCTTTACATCTGTGTCTCTTTTGCTGCCTCACATATAGGGTCATCGTTACCATCTTTCTGAATTCCATATATATGCGTTACATTTCTTTTATAGAATTTAATTGCAGTAACTTTACCATGTCTCTGAAATTCTAATAAACACAGTGCATTCAAAGGCCATACATTTTCTCATTCTGTAAAAACTCTGCATGTTTAGTGTTACCCAAAACTGTGTTCACATGCTTTGATGTTATTTTCACTAATTTAGTAAACAACTAGATAGAAGATGGTTTGTTAACCTGATATAAAATAATTATGTCTGAACTTAAAACAGTAGTTCTCGGTCTCAGCTACACTTAAAATTACCTGAGGAATCTTGACAGGCTGCTCCTCAGTCCAGTTAAATTAGAATCCTTGGGACTTGATTTGGCATCAATGTTCTTGAGAGCTCCCTTGATTCCAAGGAGCAGCCAAAATTAAGAACCAATTGAGAAGAATCTAGTTTAGAGTTCACTAATACATTCAGAGTTTGCGTTATACATTTGCCTCCAAGAAGTTTAGATGTCTTTTAAACTATTACTTTACCCAGAGAATTGATGGTTAGAGTTTGTTAGTAGATGTCTTTGATCACACAGCATTTTTACTTGTCCTTTTTTCTGTCTAGTAAATCAGAGCATAGAATCCAGGCTTCTTATTTCATACTATAGGCTATGTGTCTGTGCTAGTAAAGGAAGGATTATAGTACCTGGCATAATGTGGCTGACTCAAAGACAATCCTTTTCTTAAAGCAATGTTTAGAGAAAATATATAAAAAGAGGGGGTTGAACTTTCTCGAGTCGTTACTACTGAAATATGAAAGAATACTACATTATATTACATTTTAGAGAACATGATGTTTGAATTTCTATGATTTTTTTGCTGACTTTCACTGTAGCTTGTTTTTCACAGAAGGTTTTGATTATTAAATGGTACTGCTATACACTCATTAAAATATTAATACATGCTTAAAATCAAATGTGGTTTACAATGAACAACTGTCATCACTAATTGACTACAAAGTCAGTAATGATTTTGGACTTATGGATTTTGAAAACTGAAAATTTTAGGGTAAAATTTTAAATTTTTGACAATTAGGAAAGGGATCTTTCTTTAAAAAAAAAAGTATTGTCCTTCTGATAAAGATACCATCATAATTCTAATGCTGGAGCTCCAATAATTTGGCCACCTGATGAGAAGAGCCAACTCATTGGAAAAGACCCTGATGCTGGGAAAGATTGAAGGCAAAAGAGGGCAACAGAGGGTGAGATGGTTAAATAGCATCACTGATTCAATGGACATGAATCTGACCAAACTCTGGAAGTAGTGAAGGATAGGGAAGCCCAGTGTGCTATAGTCCATAGGATTGCAAAGAGTCTAGCACGACTTGGCAACTGAACAACAGCAACAACAAAATCAAAATCCTTCAGGGCAAGAGCCACGTTATATGTATATCTAAATATATATATGCTAAATAATATCTCACATACAGTAGAAAAAAAATATGTATCCTCCATAAATATCTTGGATTAATAATTATCCTTAATTTAGTTGATGTAACTCATCATTTTCTGTAGTTTAATGTATTCTTTAAAATGTTTTAGAGGAAATTTTATGTACTAAATATTGTACTGTTTTGTTATTGTAATGTCATACCTTGTGATTAACAATGTAAAAAAAAACCCTTAAGTCCCCACAATGATAAAAATTAAGGGAAATATGTCTTTTACAGTTGTACATTTAAATAATAAAATTTAAATTTTTGTAATTGCAACTTAAATATGTGATAGCATTAGCAATGCTCTTATGTCCCTTTTCCTCCCCCTTATTTTATTTATTTTAGCTAGAGTTAAACTAATCCTTAATTTGATGGTGATTGAATATTATGTAGGAAGGAGAGGTAAGCTTTAGGATACAGCTCACCAGAGTGCTATGAACAAATAAGGAATCACAGGATATGTTTAGGTAATGGTGATAGAAAATATCAATTGCTTGAAATCAAGTATTTTAGTGAGAGGGTAGCTCATAGTATAATAAGACTATGATTCAAACAGATATGAGATTAAATTCCAACTCTGACATTTTAGGGCAAAATTTTAAACTATTCTCAATTTCTTCACTTACTTTATGATTCTTATGTAACAAGATTTTTTTTTTTTGGAGTACTTGATTCAAAATGCAGAGCAACTGTCTTTTGCTCTCAGAAAAAAGTAAGTAAACATCAGAATTTATTATTGGTACTTAAATACATGATCCTTCCCATAGAACTACTATTTTCTAAACAGGCTTCCTATAATCAAACTGTCTCACTCATACTTGAGGGTTCCATAAATTCACTGTCACTGGATCAAGAAACAATAGGCACACCTGTGTTGGTCCTCTGTCCACCATCTTTTTATCTTTGTATCCTTATTGTCAGATTATGTATGTACTTGTTAGTTGTCTTTCTTCTCTGTCAATATTTAAGTTTCCTTAGAGACAAAGCTTGTCTGTTTTCTAGCTGTTGAAACCCATGTGCTTAGAATAATACCTAGCATATACCTGGGTGTTTAATAAATATTTGTTGAGAGAATGAAAGGAATGAACAAATACAATATTAGATATACCTGCTTACTAAGGAGCTAAGTGGAGAATTTTTTTCTACTGATAGATCATCCTTTAGAAATGATGTTCACTTGGCTGTATTCCTTTCTGTCCTATTGGTTGCTTCATCTGTGAAATAATCTAATTAACCATGGGAGGTAGATTTCTAACATGTAAAAGTTTAATGTATACCTTTGGCAGATCTGTTTCTTGGAATGTTCAGGGATCTATAAAAAACACCAGCATCTCTCTTAAGAATTAGATTGCATCATTGCCTAGCTGCCCTTGGGGTCAGGGTTTTGGTTTTTTCCCGGTGCCTCTCCTGTCCTCAGTCACAGTGCCCTGCAACTGCATGAGCCTATGTGACTGCTGTGGAATTACTGTCTGCCCTGCTGTTCTCAGTCCACCCAGGGGTTGGCTACAGGCAAGTCTTTAAAAGACCTAAAGTTTTACAGAAACTATTGCAGCTATTTCTAGGCCTTGAATAAGACCTTTAGTGGGAGCGTAACAGAAGTCTAAGAATAACATTCTAAAGGACCTTTGAGCTAAAAATGCTGACTGATAATCAGTTGAAATCAGTATTAGACCAAGAAGGATGCTGAAAGAGACAGATAATAAAATTCAGAAAAATGGAACTACAGAAGATATTTTAAGAAATGATAGGGAAAAAACATGAACATTAAATTTTGTTATACAGAAATGTGTGCCGTCTGCTTCTTCGCTCAGTCATGTCCAGCTCTGCAACCCCATGGGCTGCAGCCCACCAGGCCTCTCTGTCCATGGGATTCTCCAGGCAAGAATACTGGAGTGGGTTGCCTCGCCCTCCTCCAGGGGATCTTCCCAACCCAGGGATCCAACCCAGACCTCCCGCATTGCAGGCACATTCTTTACTGTCTGAGCCACCAGAGACGAGTCATGACTAATGAGTATAGAGTTAGCGATAGTGATTTACTTATGTTTTAATGGGAAACCACATATTCTAGAGAAAAACTATTCATGATAAACAACCTGAGTCATTGCTTCTAGTATTTAATTAAAGTGTCCGGAAGTCTCCATAAAATCTACACAGAAATACTTTTTACCTCTTTGTCATTCTATGGGCAGTGCTGCCTTTCCTCAGAAACAAATATACTCAAGATAATAAAAATTGATATGTTGAGTCTTTTTAGCTACATTTTATGATCTTTAAAAAGATGCCTCTGTAGTATGAATTGGGCTTCCATGATAGCTCAGTTGGTAAAAAATCCACCTGCAATGCAGGATGTTCCAAACATTAGTCCATAAATCAATTGCTGGAATATATCTTGAAGAAACAACTTAAATGATAATTTCCCAGAACATCCCATAGAAACCTGTCTAACTAGATGTGGTTAAAATGCCGATGATAGAAAGCCACATTAAACACAGTAGCTCTTTTTAAATTCAGAATAATAATTACCAGGCACTGAACAAAGTGATGTACATACATACCCTTACTTAAATTCTTAAAGTACTTTAAGATATGTATTGTGTCTCTTTTATGATGAAAGATACCCGAGGAAAAAAATATTCAAAAGCTTGCTTAGGTCACATAGTTAGCAGTACAGCCAGGATTTGAATTCAGATCCAGCTGACTCAAAAATGTTTACTCGTTATGATTGGTATCCTACCTTTATATGTAAGAAATACTTATATACTTTGTATATAAAATAGTATGCCAAATTTTCTACCATTCACACCATACATTTTAGCAGAACTGAGGATACGTATTAACTATGGGATACAATTATCCTAAGTGCCTTAGCATTATCATATCCTAAGATGTATGGATATATTACCAGAGGGGCAAAAAGTAGCCTTCATATGCAACAGTTTAAGAACAATTATTTGTATGTCCAGGATTGTTTGGATTTGAGTTTTCTTTTTAATTACTGATATAGATTCCTAAAATGTATTTGGGGTATATTTAATTTTTTTTATTATACAATCAATAACAGTTCACAGAAGAAAAACTTGGCCAGGCAGAGAAGACAGAATTGGATGCTCACTTAGAGAACCTCCTTAGCAAAGCTGAATGTACCAAAATATGGACAGAGAAAATAATGAAACAAACTGAAGTGTTATTGCAGCCAAATCCAAGTAAGAAACTTTTTACCTTTTGTCTACATTGTTGACTAATCTTATTAAAAGATACTGTTAATAGGTTTTTTTAAAATTTGTTTTTTTAAGTTTTAATGGCTGTTGAAAAACATTTTCTGATTATGGCTTTGAGGTCTATGTTATTTTGTATGTGTGTTTTTGGTAAAGAGGGTGATAAACACTTCATTGGGTATCCTCTAACAAATTGACAGATAACGTTTTTAAGGTCTTTGTAGAATCCTCTTGAAATTTCAGGCAGCAGCTTTGAATTTTAAGAGTTATGAAAGCTTGTGAAGATCATCTTCCTTCCTCATCCAGGGGAGAACTGCCCCTATATGATTAAGAAAAAAAATGCCCCTATATAATTAAAGGAAAATTACATAGAAACTTAATCAGTTACCAACTATTTATGTTTAAGTTTTACATTTTTACACAAATTACCCCATTTGATTTTCAGACAACTCCATAAGGCTTTTCAGATCACCTAACTCAATAACCTGGCAAATAAGATGCACAATGATTGTTTTAATTGAAACTCACAAGTTAGCATTTTGTTCAGTGTAGCATAACTAATTAAAAGTAGAACTTGAACTGGAACCAGGTGTATTGACGGGGAGCTTTACAGATAAAAACTAAAGGACAAAATCAACAATAACAGTTCCTGCTTTCCTTCCCCCTTTCCCCAGTGTTATTGTGACCATTTTGTGAAATGCCATAACCTTTCTTTCAGATACTACCTCCAAGCTTTAAACTTTGTTGCTGTTATATAAACCTCAAGCACCATATTGCCCAGACCCTTTGCACCCCCATGGACTGCCCACCAGGCTCCTCTATCCATGGAATTTCCCTGCAAGTATACTAAAGTGGGTTGCCATCCCCCTCTCCGGGACACCTTACAGACCCAGGGAATGAACCCACATCTCCTGCATCGCAGGTGCATTCTGTGATGCTGAGCCACTGGGGAAGCTCAGGCACTGTACAAACTATTAATAATCCTGTGCCATGTAGTTAAATTGTGGTGACTTTAAAATAGTTCTTTTACTGTTTGAGGCCTGTTGTCTTTAGACACTGTGTGTTCTTTCTTCCTCATTTAAGGCTACTTAAATAATATACCATGGCACCTAAAAAAAAAAAAAGCAGTGGACATTTTTCCTCTTGTTTTTTGCTCTAGCCATAGTTCCTCCAGTATATAATCTATCCTACAGCATGTTTTTGTGGTTGGCAAATAATGTCACCAACATTGTTGGACATTTCCAACAATGTTGGAAAGGATATCAGTAGACCGTAGCTCACATAATTTTATTTCAGTGTTTAGTAATAGTTGTTTTTGTGTTTTATTTTGTGCTCTCATTATAAAGTTACACAGATTTTAAGTGGTTAGACCGAATCTTTTTTCAGTAAGCCCTGTTATTTTTAGTGTATTATTTTCCAGAACCTAGAATTTTTCAGAAGTGTACATTGCATTATAGTGGAATTGCCTGCATTTCTTGTTAAGATTTTATTATGACTTTTTGATACCCTAAATGAAATATTTATTTAAAATACACCAGTTTTTTTTTTTTAATTGAATGAACTCAACATGGGATTCAGCTTTAAACTTTTTTCTCACAGTCAGAAAATGAAATTCTGAGATTTAGCTAACATTTTCCAAGGGGTTTTGTTTTCAACTGACTTTTTTTTGGTTTTAACTAATTTAAAGGTTTTTAAATTCTTACTTAAAAACTCTTCTGATGCTGCACCAGAGTCTACCGCAAATCCAAGTATTGTTCCAACAGCATATTTTGTGTATTAAAATGAACACTTTTGCCAACTTCTGAAGTGTTTCTGTTATTGGTTCAACTTATTTTTGAAATTTTCAGTGCACTGTGTGAAGCTTGTGGAGGAATTATGTGAGGTGCTTAGAAAGAAACTATTTAACTTCTTTTTGGATCATAATTTTAATTTAAGCATTTTTTTTCTGGAAACTTTTAATTTTTTCTTATTTATCTCTGAAATATCTCACTGTTGGAAGCAATGTAAATGTGAATTTCTTAAATATGATAACCAAGTGTTTACTCAGATTTTAATGATTTTTTTTCCTTTTCATTTATGCTAACTCCTATTACTGCTCTTAACCTTTAATGATAAAATCTTTTGAATGAATACATGCTCAGATATTTATATACTTTAAACATAATTAAGCCAAGAAATCGTATTGCTGATCTCTGTAGACTATTCCAAGTCTGGACTATTCCACTCCTTAAACTCCCAATATTTAACCTCTAAGAGGGAGATTGAGCATATAAGCAAACTAAAGCACAGTAACAGTGGCAGAAGAATACAACTCTTCAATTTCTCTAGGTACCTTATATCCATATTTTTATAGCTGGAAATCCCTGATTTTAAAATTGTAAACACATATTCAAAAATTAAAAGTTGGACACTACGAATGGGTCTAAGGCCGCTTCACTAGATATTAAGTGAATACCAACGCTTTCTGAAACTTAAAATCCCATAAAATATTTATAATAGTCTTGAAAAATGAAAGTGTTAGTCACTTAGTCATGTTTGACTGTCTGCAACCCTGTGGATTATAGCCCGCCAGGCTCCTCTGTCCATGGGATTGTCCAGGCAAGAATACTGGAGTGGGTTGCCATTTCCTTCTCCAGGGAGTCTTCCTGACCTGGGAATTGAACCCAGGTTTACTGCATTGTGAGCAGCAGATTCTTTACTGTCTGAGCTACCAGGGAAATGCACTTCATTTTTAAATGTTTATCATATTTTTAAAATGTAAGTTTCTTAGAGTTATATAATACTCTAACATGCAATTGAAAAATTATATATTAAGATACATACTTGAAAGCATACTAATTTCTTATTTATTTTACAAAGTGATAAATGGCTAGTAGGGGAACAACAGTCTTTCAAATAACTTTTTGAAACTGTTGGTAATTTAAACTTTTTTTCTAGATGCCAGGATAGAAGAATTTGTTTATGAAAAACTGGATAGAAAAGCTCCAAGTCGTATAAACAACCCAGAACTTTTGGGACAATATATGATTGATGCAGGGACTGAGTTTGGCCCTGGAACAGCATATGGTAAGTGAAAGGCAAATGTCTGCTAAGAGATATCTTTATTTTTAGATCTTTACTTACTTAGAGACATCATTAACATTTATCTAGTATTAGTAGAATCAGTTTTAACTTCAAATATTTTATGTTAAAATTTTAGATGAAGTGATAAACATAACCACCAAATATATACAGTATGACTTAATATTTAATATATTAATATATTTAAGCATATATTCTGAGAATTCACATTATCTTTTTAGGTCTAAATAGGTATTCCCATTGAATCTTGCAACTCCTTTGATGTACTTCTTGTGAAAAATTGCAGTTTCTGTTTGTGTCTCCTCGAGTTGATTTTTCTTTTTAAAGCTTTCCTGAGGACTTATTTCTATAATGTGCATTGCACAAACTAAGTGTTTAAACTAGTGCTTTTATTACACAAGTAATGTCAATACCACAAAAATGTTAACAGTGGTTATCTCTGAGTGCTTGTTAAGACTTCTGCGAGAAATTGGTCTTTATTTGGATTGTGAAATGATAGGTAAATTAAGTGATTTTCTACATATATAGTCCTGATTTATGTGTGCGTGTGTGCTAAGTCGCTTCAGTCATATCTGACTCTGTGCAACCCTATAGACTGTAGCCCACCAGACTCCTCTGTCCATAGAATTCTCCAGACAAGAATACCAGAGTGGGCCGCCAAGCTCTCCTCCAGGGGATCTTCTGTTGGCAGGCGTCCTGGGAAAGCCACCTGATTTATAATAGCACATAAATTCTGAGACTAAATGAACGTAGTTTTAGTAGTCCTTATGTCAGAAGGGCCTGAGTACTGAGTACTGAATGATGGTAATCCGTTAACTAGCTTGTAGATGTACAACTTTGAAACTTTTTTACACTATGTTCTTCAAAATATAATTCTTACAGAAGTCTGAAAGTGCTTTAAATTTCTATAGTTTTACTTCTAAATTTTAACTGTAAATTTCAGGAAGACTTTATATATATATTGATCAGATTTGTTAATTGCCTTCTTATGCCAAACTCAGTTAGATGCAAGGGTCATAATGGTACATGAAGGACCCAGCTGTTTCCTTCACCAAGCTGAAGGTATAGTAGAGCAAAAACATTCAAAAGCCTTCTAAATTTTTTTCCTTTTTAACCTGCTTTACCTGTTTATACCTCTAATAATTCCATTGAATGTACCCTGATTATTGGAATTGGGCTTTGTGAATCTTTTATTGGTAATTAATAATAGCTAACAATTGAATACTCCAGGAATGGGGCTAAGCACTGTATAAATATTATTTTAGCAAATCCTCACTTAAATCCTACTTGTAAATTCTGTTATCTCTGTGTAAGGACAAGGAAACTGAGTCTTAGAGAGGTTACATAATTCATCTATGATCACACAGAGCTAGTAATTAAAATGTAGATCTGTATCCAGAATTTGAGCTCTTAACTACATGTTATATTATTACCTTCCTTACAAATTAGATCTAATGTCATCTGAACATAAAGGAATTAAGATCCACAGGGGGAAAAACAAATAAGATCCACAGAACTAAAGCTTATTAGAAGTATATTGGTCCTACTTCCAGTTAGAACCCAATCTTGGGGTTCTGTTTTTCTCTATTTTCCACTGAATTTGTCCTATTTAAATACTAGGTGGTGTGTGCTGCTGAACAGATTTTTTTTTAACTTAAGATACAAATGTATACTATTATTTATAGACACTTGGAATAAGTACATAAATATAGAAACAAAAGAATTTTTACCTGGTCTACTTATTAATATATTTTAAGAATTATACTTTTATAAGCATATCTGTACTATTTGAGCTGTGACCGTAAATATTTTTAAGTGTATCTGTCCTCTTTTGTCCCATTGGTAGAGTTAGTACAGTTAACTATGATATGATAAAGAATTTATCTTTGTCATTTTCACTTACATATTTATAATCTTAAACTTACTTTCAAAATAAAACTACCTTTTATGCGTGTGTGTGTTCAGTCACTCAGTCATGTCTCACTCTTTGTGACCCCCATGAAATGTAGCCCACCAGACTCCTTCTGTCCGTGGAATTTTCCAGGCAAGAATGGTGGAGCAGGCTGCCATTCCCTACCCCAGCGGATCTTCCTGACCCAGAGTTTGAACAGGCGCCTCTTACACCTCCTGTACTGGCAGGTGGATGCCTTACCACTGAGCCACTTGGGAAGCCAAAACCATCTTACCTACAGTTAATTGTATTTGATTTTTACTTAAATAAACAAGTAACAACTAACTTTAAGGCAGATCAGGTAGCTGATTTATCTTAACATGATTTTCTGACATTACCATACAGTGTTTTTAAAAAAAGCAAACTTTTTTTCCATTGCAGGTAACGCCCTTATTAAATGTGGAGAAACACAAAAACGAATTGGAACAGCAGACAGAGAGCTGATTCAAACATCAGCCTTAAATTTTCTCACTCCGTTAAGAAACTTTATAGAAGGCGATTACAAAACAATTGCTGTGAGTTGGAAAATGTTCATTTTTTTAGTAAAACAATTTAGGTGTATACTTACAGGTAGAAACTTGCAGTTTTTAGTGAGCAGTTGCCCTCTTAATGACTTTGTAGATACAGCAGATTAGAAGAATTAAATAATCAGAAGAACTAAATAATCTAGCAAGAGGTATATTCCAACAGAATACAAAACTAACCAAAATAGAGGATTATTAATGATACAAACTCCACTTCTGTGTCACTGTAGTGTTATTGAGATGTCTTTACATCCATTCTTGTTCATTACCAGCACTGAAATCTATATAGAAGTTCCTGGAATGATTATTAAAATGTGGCACAAATTATGTTCATAGTATAGCCATACATTTAAACTGGGAGCCAGAATCATCATGACTGGAAGCTGTATTTCTGGCTATTAGACTTCCTGTCTTTTTGTATCCCTAGAAGTCTATTATCTTCTTTTAACACAGGTGTGTTTTATTGCTGAAATATAAGGGAAAAAAAATCACTTCCCAAACCTAATCTATTAGTCTATTATTTTTTTAGTTTAAGTTGTGTTTTAAATGATGGAGAGTGGTGTCCTAGGTGGATATTTTTTTCCTAAGGTTTTTATTGCAAATACTACTTCAAACTTAATTTTCATATTTATTATAGAAACTCAGTATGTTTACAGTGAATCTGTGTATAAAAATTGTTTGGCCTGAGACAGAGGAAAAATCACAAAGATGAAATATGATTGAAAAGATATTAGATTGTCAACAGGATAAAATTTGATATATGGAATCTAAGAACTAACAAAGCAAACAGTAAATTCTTATAAACTAGTGTATTATGAAGCTTGACATTCCCCTGAGGAATTCTAAGATACCATATTAACATTTGTTCATGATTCGTTCTAAATAAATGAAATTCTGTTTTTGGAGTCGCAGATTTGCTTTTGGTGCTACAGCACAGGGTTGCAAGGAGCTTTGCCCTAGGGCCTCTACCTTCTTCACTTTAGGCACTTCCTAGATTACCTGTAACAGGCTGAAACAGTGTCTCAAGCTGAGCACTACTAACATTTTAGGTCAAGTAATTCTTTGTTGTAAGAACTGTACTACATTGTAAGATACGTAGCCACGTCTCTGGCTTCTACCCAGTGGATGCCAGTAACATCGGTCCCCAGATTATGACAACCAAGCAGATATTGCCAAATATTCCTCAAATAAGAGCAAAATCACAGAATATTAAAACTAATATTACTTTGTTTCTACCACCACCTGCCATCTTTCCCAGATATCTAGAATGTCTCTATCGTTTTTAGATTGCAGATAGTGAGAAAATGGAGTCAGACACCTGAAAGGTCACTTCATGGCCAATTTTGTAATCATAGATCTTTGTTCATCAGATGATTCATTTGTTTAATGGGAGAATAGTACTTTAAATGTGTGTGCTCTTAGTGGATTTTTAATGTCATTAGACTTTATTTTCTTTCCTATATTTATAGAAAGAAAGGAAACTATTACAAAATAAGAGACTGGATTTGGATGCTGCAAAAACAAGACTGAAAAAAGCAAAAGCCGCGGAAACTAGAGCATCAGTAAGTACTGGTTTTTTTTTTTTGTTTTTAAATAAAAAAACATTTTAGATTAATAACTTTTAAGTCTTGTCAAAGATTTTACTTATATATTATGCGAGCTACAGTCTATCATTAAGACTAGGATAGGACTTTAGGATATTATTTTTGTATTTTTTAAACTTTTCAGGACTTAATACATTCAAATCAGTGACAATAATCATATATCAAGAGATGTCAGTACTCTTACTTTAGTGATCCACTTGTTGCTAAAAAAATAAAAATTACAAGAGCTCCTAAAAAGCTGTGTCATATTTTGCAAATAACGTCAATGGTAATGGAAAATAAGTCTTTTGGAGATAGATTTATTATATTTGAAAGACAAAAATAGATAGTAATTAAGATGAGAATGAGTGAAGTTTGTGAATGCTTATGAGTACCTTAAAAATTAGATATGACTACCTTTCCACATGTGATTCAAACTGACTGAAGGAATTGTCACCAAGAATAGTTCCAAAAACATTCAGACAGTGGCAGCATGAACTCCCAGGTGGCTGTTTTGAAGGAGAGGAAACTCATTTAGATAAATAAGTTCTGGTATATTTTTCATAAAAGCAACTTCAGAGTGGTCTTTTAGGACTGAATGGATATGTGTTAAATAAAGTAGTTCATTGATTTTATATATATATATATATGTGAAAACATGTAAGTAGATATATATGTAAAACTTTCTTAAAAGATTTTATTTATAAAGCCTCTAATTTAATATAGTTTATGTCTCTTCCAAAGTTTGAAGAGATTAATCAGACTTGAATTAGAGCACCTTTAGGGTAGAACAATATAAACAAGTTTGAATTTATTAGGTGAAGCTAACAAGTTCATTCTTAATGAGCAAAAGGATATGTTTTGTTAAGAGACGTGACATTCCCACTGCCTTCTGTTCCCAGCTCACTACCACTGCTGTCATCAAGAGTCTCTGCCTAGGAGCATATTACCTCTGTGCTGGTAGAAGTCTGTTGTGGCTCTGTTGTTTTGGAAAAGACTTGGTTTAGAGTGAAATTTAAAATTAGTGACTTGGTGTTGGAGAGTGATGTCTTACAGAATTTACCCCAACAGTTTGTATGAGCAGAATAAATTATTTTCTTCTAGACAGTTGCCCTTTAAAGATTCTTAATTAGCTATTGCTGGAGAACTATCTTTGACAAGACATTAATTTCAAAATCACTGGCTAGTTCACCTCAGAATTTACATGACCTCATCATAAAGAATAGCCTAACTTCCCTGAACAGGCTTTTTGCAGAATCAGAACTTTAAAACTAAATGCCGGAGATGACAAGAGACTCTAAAATAGGATATTCCTCTCTAAAGTTGCTAATAATAAACTTATATAGTAAAATATGAATTGTTTTTTAAGATACTAATTTCATGATCAGAAAAAAATGTTAAAGTTTATTTGGAATGAAATGTTTGAACAGAATATCTTTATTTGAAATGCCTTTATATGCCCAGTGATGATGGAGTAACTATTGTCAAATGTCAGCACAAAACTTTCTTTAACAAGCACCATTACAAGATAAAAATAGTCTAGTCTACTTTTTACTTGGAAAAATTCCAGAAAGTTCATTGTTTCAACAGTACACAAGGTCCTATGATTATTCTAAATTATTTTACCACTGTTATTAAAATGTATATTTCCTTTTGATATATCCAGAAAAGATGCTGACAATATCTCTGTGCATTGTATTGTTGAGAACAAAATTTTTTAAATTTGCATTTAAAAATAAGATTATACAAATGACTTTTTCAACAATTTAGTTTGTACACAGCTTTTCTAGAATTTATATAATGCATGAAACAAAATTTAACTGTAGCTCAATATTAAAATTATTAGTTTAGATGAAAATTCCCATTTCCTGATTTTAGTTGTATTCTTTCCCTCTAGATAACTAACTTGCTCTTCTTCAAACTTATTAGCAGTAAGTCTGAAATACTTCGGAAAGGAAAAGTCCTCTTAGTTTGTTATCACATAAAGCCTTGAGGCACACCTGTATTTTGTGATCTTTTTTTTTCCTTTCCCTGTGTTTCTCTTCCCTTTCTTAAAGAATAGAGAAAAATTGAAACCACTAGAAGTTTGTTTTGCTTTTTTTTTTTTCTTTTCCTTCTTTGACACATTTCGTGCTTCCTAATTGGTGGCTAAGGAGGTTACTCTAACCTCAGACTTTCTTTGATTTTACTTCCTTGTATAAATTTCCTCAGATTGTTTCGTGATCAGTTTCTCTGTAAGTAAGGTTTGAGACCTGTGCATATCAGCACTTTTTAAAAAATTTGTTTCCTAGTTTCTTGTGACCTGTTTTTAAATTCTAGATTTACTGAATGCTAATTTTGTACAAGTTGCTTTGCTGAGAAGGAGTTAGTATATAAATAGTGCAAAAATCTCTGCTGCCCTCAGTTTACAATCTAGCATTGTAGATTGAATTTTTTGGTGATTTAGCCTTACCAGTAAAATATTTAATGCCTGTATTCAATATTGTTACTATACTAACCTGTTTTATTAGTTAATATGTTGAAGAATGGTAAAGCAATATCAAAGACATTTCTCAAAAATACACCAATGAGCAGAAAAGAGAAAACCTCCCTGAATATTTTACAGTGAACAAAAGTATAGCTTTGAAAATAGTGTAAACTTTATAACAGAGGAGCAAAAACAAATAACTTCTGCATCTGAGTTATAAGGCACTGACATTATTAACCTAATCTTAGTCTGCATAAGCTTTTTAAAAAATCATTTTAGAGTGTTGTTAATGGAAAGAAAAAAATCATCTGGTTTCAAAACTCTCTGATACTGAGAGGTTTAGACGTCTGCTGCTTTCAGGTATCCAAACATGATGGAAAATACATTATCACTAACATAATATAGCGAATATGTCCCTCTGTCCATCTAATCATTTCCACAGCAGTCCAGTTCACTTCAGTCTCTCAGTTGTGTCCAACTCTTTGCGACCCCATGGACTGCAGCACACCAGGCTTCCCTGTCCATCACCAACTCCTGGAGCTTGCTCGAACTCATGACCATCAAGTCTGTGATGCCATCCAACCATCTCATCCTCTGTCATCCCCTTCTCCTCCCTCTTTCAATCTTACCCAGCATCAGGGTCTTTTCCAATGAATCAGTTCTTCACATCAGGTGACCAAAGTAGTGAAGCTTCAGCTTCAGCATCAGTCCTTCCCATGAACATTCAGGGCTGATTTCCGTTAGGATTGACTGGTTTGATCTGCTTGAAGTCTAAGGGACCCTCAAGAGTCTTCTCCAACACCACAGTTGAAAAGCATCAATTCCACAATTTACAGCAGTATGTGCCTTTAATGTAAAAACCAAGTGAATTTATAGAACCATCATATAATCCTAACTTTAATGTATACATATTAGAATTTAAAGTCTATTAAAAATATAAGGATTGACTTGCGTTTCATATTTCTTCAGGGTATGCCAAGACCTGGCTGAGGCTGATTGAAAGAGAACGTGGTTGAAGGCATCATACACTAATAAAATAGAAATGATCTTTGAATAGGGAAATTGTGGGTAGGCAGAAGGACTTGCATAGGTGAAAATTCGATAAAAATTTAGGTGATTGTGGCAGTTTTTAAAGTAATGCATCTTCCCCAAATAATTCCAATTTAAAATCAAGCATCAACCATGTTTTTTTATCTTTGAAAACTTGAATCTTTTGAAAAAAATTGAATAGCTATCATAATATGAAAGTATGTGTTCTAATTGCCAAATCCAGCTATACCAAATTCAGATTTTAGAGTCTGAATTTATACATAAATATATAGTACCTTTTATTACACAATAAAAGATGTTAATTTATGTTACTTGACATAGATACTAAAAGATATTAATTGACAAAACAAAATTTACTTAGTTGGATTTCTTTTTAAGTAGAAGGCCATTTTATCAGCTCTTAATACTTGTTTGTGTGTTGTGCAGAAGTAACTTTGTTTCACTTTGTTCATTGGTATAATGTGTTCTTTGTCTCTTACCTATGCACTTAAGCAACTAAACTCAGCACGCCTTGAAGGAGATAACATTATGGTAAATTTCTCTTACATGCTCAACCTCCTGCATGTAAAATGGCTGAAGGTTTGTTGGCCTACTGTGTTTTCTACATCTTGAATAAAGTGCCTTCTCTTGCTATTATCTACATGTAAAAGTCTAAAGTAGTTGAAGCTATGCATTCATCAGTCTAACAAAAAATACAGAGAATGCTAGCTGAAGTAATACTGGAACTTGAAGAACAAAAATTATGTGTTCTAGTTGACAAATTCAGCTCCACCAAATTCAGATCTTAGAGTCTGAATTTATACATAAATATATATTGCCTTTTATACACAATAAAAGATGTTAATTTTTTATGTTGACATAGTTATTCAAAGATATTAATTGACAAAATTAACAAAATTTACTTAACTTAGAGAAAAGTATAAGGTATACAAATTTACTTTGCTTCACAGTACCTTCAATGTTTACTTTAATTTTCACCCAAACTCAACATAGAATTAATTTCTTCTTTGTAATTCCAGGCCAAGACAAACCCTAGTAGTTTAGGTATTTCTGTAGTGTTGAGGACTGTGCAAGCAAGCTCAGTCACTTCAGTCGTGTCTAACTCTCTGTGACTCCATGGACTGTAGCCTGCTATCCATGGGATTCTCCAGACAGGAATACCAGAGTGGTGGGTTGCCATTTCCTCCTCCAGGGGCTCTTTCTGACCCCGGGATCAAACGCATGTCTCCTGCAGCTCCTGCACTGCAGGAACATTCTCTACCACTGAGCTATGTGTTAATTCCTTAGCTGAATAGTGATAGCTTTGAATTAGTAATGAGAATTATTCTGTAGTATCCTATATATTTTATTGAGCTTGATTTGAGGAAATTTTTGAGGTGTTAAGCATATTTAATTTTTTAGCAAGATAGAAATTAGTAAAATCTAAACATTGTCCCAAAACTCATAAATGTTAGCCAGAAAAGATTTATAGGTACAGTGTTTGTCATAATACTCCTGGGTGTATTACTGCCATAGAAGTAGATGGAATCCACTGTTAAGTAGTAAATAATTGGCAGTTTTTATTTGTTAAATCAATTGACTATTTTTATTTCATTAGCACTGTACTAAAAGGAGGGGGAAAAACATGTAATAGAAAAGGTTATTATACAGAATATGTTAAATGCATTTGTTTTTTAAACTACTGCAATTATTGAAGCCCTGGCTAAATTAGGGCTTTCCTTAGATAGCAAGAGAATGCATTCATTTATTTCCATTGTCCTATTTATATGTAGGTAAATGAGAAGTATGAGACTGTTTCACTCATTGTTAGTTTAGTATATATGTCATTTTAAATCATGCTAAACAGTTATTAAGACTTTGTTTCATTTATTAGGCATTTGTTTTACTACTTATGTCATCTACTTATAAGATGTGTTTAACTCTGGTAACTTTAAGTTCATCATTTCTCAAGTTTATTTTGCCTCCCCTCATGGCTCTATCAACATTTTGTGTCCATTTATCCTTGCTTTATTTTAACTTCCTAAAATTGTAGAATTTTGAACCTAAATGTGAAATTAGAAATCATATACTGTAAACGTCTCATTTTACTGATGAGAATACTGGAACTGAGAGGCGTTAAATATCCCAGTTTTGGAAACCTGTTATTAATTTAGAAATAGTATAAAACTCAAACATCGGTACTACTAATACATATGAAGGCATACTTTCACAGTATATTAAGCTTTATTGATTTAACTATTACTGTTTAATCTGTTAATGTGACTCTGGAAAAAGTATGCCATGTGAATTAAAATATTTACATTTTTCTATACTAAGCTGTAGAAAATGTTAAATTCCAACTTTCTTTCATGCTCTATATTTTTCTCTAATTTTTAATGCTGGCTAGATTTGGGCAGAGGAAGTGACAAAAGTAAGTAAATTATTAAACTACAGAATTATGAAACAAGAATTTAAATGTCATTCATTTAGTAAATCTATGTTGGGCAACAACTATGGGGCCAGTCACAGTCTTTGTTAGTATGTCTTATAAAATCTGAAAATTATTATGAAAAGCTCAGATCCGTTTGGCTGGTAGTAGTTCCACAGAGTGGTAGGACAGTGCTTCAGAGATGTTGTCTGTGCACACTCTGATAAATATCAGGTATCTGTTATATTAAGCGTAATCCTTACAGTGCCTTACCAGAAGACAGTTCTTAAATACTTGGTTTATTCATATGATAATTATGTGAATTATAGTTAACACTATGTATCTTCAGAGAAGTGAGTGTATCATGTCACACAAACGAATTTTCAAGGTAACTGAAGCTTGTTTTCTCTAGCTCCTATGCTAATTTTTCTGTCTTTCGAGTTGAAAATATTTATAAAAAATTAAATACAGGATAGCATATATTTAACTTTGCTTACAGTTAGGCTTATTATTACGAACATGCTTTATGTACTGTGCAACAGTTGGATTCTTTGTTTTTAAAGTATGTTGTCTCCTCCCTCATTGTCAGACGGTCACTTTTAGACACTGTCCATATCACCATTACTGCCCGTCTCTCTACTTCTGCTACCATTTCTAATCTTCTCTTGGTTAGGAAAGCAAATAAGTAAGTTTAAGAAATAAAATTATGACTAGTGAAGATTTATTTCAAGTGCAATTCGAGGTCTTCAGAAGCATTTTTCATTTACTTCTCATGTTTAGAATCTGACCTTGAGATGAGGACAGTCCTGGGGATAGAGCCCAGGTGTTAATTGGGCCCCTGACTATTAAATAGTTTTATAAACTTAAACTTATTTTCTGATTTTATAGGATTGCTGACTATGCAGTCTTGTTTCAGGGATAGGTTATGGAGCATGACTTGGAAATCCAATGTGAAATTCTTCTAACACCCATGCCCTCACTCCCTTTCACGGAATCCATTCATCAGCTTAGTTATGGTTACACCCTGGCCTCTGATCTCTTCCTGAACCTCTAGCATGAAAAGAGGACAGAATAACATGGAAGAGAAAGTAGTTTGGTCAAGAAAGGGTCTCTTCCACTTTGGTTAACATACAGGTACATCAAAACATTTTTGCAGATTTGATCTTGCAGTCTCTACAAATTTGGGAAATGGTTGATATGATATCAAGAAACTCATGAAACAAGTATTTACATTATTATGCCTGTATATGTTTAAAAAGTTTAAAATAACATCAAAATGGATTTTGAAAAATATTCTCACTTCTGTCATTTTTATAATTTAAAAATGTGTAACTTTAAAACTTCATATTCCTGGAATATATTAAGGTTTAAGCCCCTAGGAAAAGTAGATAACACTGACCAAGATTTCATAGCAAATCTTCATAGCCTTAGAAGCTTGACCAGAATTTCTGGCTTAAAATAAGTAACCCAGTCCTGATATAACAAACCAGCACATTCTTGCCCTATTTCCAATTTACATCCTAAAAGAACTCTTCTTGCTTCTCTAACCCAAGCTATGCTTTAGATCAGTTAGTCCAGTAACAGTAATTCTAAGCAGTAGAAGATCTTCTCCCTAGAACTCTATCCTAATTATAAAATTAAGTTGGAGAATGAGATCCTCTGGAGAACAGAATAAAAACTCTCAACTCATTGTCTTTCTGTAAACCCTATTTCTGTCTGTTTCTAATATGGATTATTTTCTTCCTAAATAAATTATTTGTGCTGAACCTAATTTCAGTTACGTCAACCTCTCTAATTATTATAATCAATTACATGTGTCAGAAGTAGAGATGGTTTGAGACATTAGACTGTTTGCAGCTACCCCAAACATACACTGCAACTTGTTCAAGAAACACGATTTGTTTCCTTCCTGTCATTTACCTTTTCTAAAATATAAAGTCTAGAATGTACAGAAGAATGACTTCCTAGGCTTTATAATGTGGTGCTTTATTCACAAATAATTAAATTTTGTTAAAACATAGGAGACTGATTCTTTATCCTTCCTAAGATCATCTTATATTTTTTATTCAGTGTTTGTAGCTTTAAAACATTTCCATTTCAGACTCAAGCTTCCTAGTCACTTTTAACCTGCTGCCTAGCTTACTTCCACCTTGTACAGAAGCATTACCATTTAGTAGACTTTCCTGCCGTTTCTACTAAAGGCTGTCAGATTGTATTTTCACAGTCAAACCTATGTGGAATAAGCCTCATTTATTTCTGAAGTGCCTTGGTTCTATCTGTCAAAACCTCTCGACCAAGTAGAAAAGTAAATGGTGCAAATGTAACACTGAAGTAATTGGTTTTCCTTAACACTTCTTTTAGGAAGAACATTGACTTTTTTTATTCTCCTGTGACATTTTTCTGCTACATACTGGAAACTTATTATTTCAGCCCTGTTATCAAAGTACCATGTATTCTGGTTTTGGTCAAGTAAATTTAATTTTAACTCAACTTACTGAGTAATTCAAGCTTATTTCCATAAGTCTCCTGTAGTGGTCAAGTCTTAGTCCTCTCTGTCATGTCTTTTGGCAGTGGGATAAGAATGATAACAGCAACTGCTATCTCTTTTGCAGCTGCTTCATTGTTGACTGCTTCACTGGGTTAAGTATGGCCACCACAGAGGGTAAAGGAGAGGGTGTGAAAGGGAAAAGTTCGCACCTTGTTTTTAATACTTACTACAGTCTTAGAAATACTGTAATTATTTTGTTGGGGGAGTAAACAATTTATCCTGGAGAAGTAGTAGAAAATATTATAATGATATTATCACCAATGCTAATTCCCCATGGGGAATAAGCTATTTTGAGTGATCTGTAAGATTTTATTTTTTCCTCTTCATTCTCATTACCGACCAACTCTGACTAAAGATTTGTGAGGATTTTTTTTTTACCAGTACTTACTGTTTTTAGATTTTATTTTTTTAAGTGACTTGTTTTGTCCCAGCACTAAACCTGTATCAGATAGTTAAAGCTGGTAATGGTACGCTTTGTATACATCTCTCTCCAGCTCTGAGGTCATTTACTTCATCTTGGTAGCTTGATATTAGCTGTAGTGGAAGTATTTATACCACTGAAAGTCAGCACATTAGAAAATCTCCCCTCCCTCCCCCGGCTTCGCCCACCACCGCCCCGCCCTGACCAGTAAAGAGCCAGTTACTAGCACACTATTGATTAAAGGTCACTCATAACTTGCAAAAAAAATCCTAGTATATCTTATAGATAATATTTCTACTTAAAACATATTTTATGCAAAGTTTGGAAAGAAAACTGTAGAAGACATTTATGTAGGACAAAGAATCTTTTGAAGGAACCTTAGAACTATGTCCCTGGAATCAAGTATATGCTTGATAACTAAACAAAAGAAGTTAAAATCCTCACTTCATCTTGAAGTTTTTTCATTTGAGAATGAAACCTATATTTAGCTTCAAAGTAAAGTAACTATAGTAGTAACAGAATTTTTTGAAATATTTTATACATGTTACCTGGTAATCTTAAGGTTTCATAAAACATTAAAATTTACCAAAGTTTATACTAGAAAATATTTGAAAACATATTAACTGTCCCATAGTTTTCCTAGGCTTTTATGTTTTTGTCATTAACTTTTGAGTTAAGTACCAATAAGGAATCAGTTCTATCTCGATTAAGTAATATAGAAGAAATAAGGTCTAGAAACCAGGGACCAGTTTAGCTACAAAGTAGAATCAGGGAATCTCCAGACTTTGGGGTTTGTTTGGGGGATTTTTAACTGTCTAAATGAGTGTGCATAGCATGGACTAAGCCTTCTAATGAGATTCTAAAACTGTGTTACAATTTAAGTCTGAACAGGAATTAAGAATAACTCAAAGTGAATTTGATCGTCAGGCAGAGATTACCAGACTTCTGCTGGAGGGAATCAGCAGTACACACGTGAGTGTTCATTCCTTGGAAATTGATTTGGAACAAAAGGCTTTGATAGTCTTACGGAAATTCTTGGAGTAGAAACTGAACTTCCTTTTCAGTCATTTATCAAGATATTTAAATTGTAGCATTTTTCAAGATATATGAAGAAATATTTTAAATTTTTTTTTACACCTTATCACCTAGTTTTCTCACCATCATCAAATCCATTTGTTTTTTGGTTTTTTTTTTTTTTTGGCTAAACAGTTTGTTATTACATATTGTAGTAAAATGCTAGAAACTGATGATTCACCCTGAGTACATTGTTGTACTCTGTCTCCCCTTAGCATTTGCCACTTTAAGTAGATTATAGAGCTAAGAAGTGACTGTAACTTTCCTTTACAGGCCCATCACCTTCGCTGTCTGAATGACTTTGTAGAAGCCCAGATGACTTACTACGCACAGTGTTACCAATACATGTTAGACCTTCAAAAACAACTGGGAAGGTGGTAATTTCCTTTTCATACATGAAACTCCTGATAAGAGAGGAAATTTGGATTTTTTTCATTTGAACTAATAATAGAAGTGAAAATAGAATTAAAGGCTTTTATTAGCTTACTTAAAATCAGATTTTTTTTTTAAGGGAAATGTTTATCATACTTCTGAAATAAAAACATTTTGAACTCTTTTGGCACAGAAGAATGTTAACAGGGATGAGAAGATAATTTAAGAGGAATACCTTTTTATTGCTATGTAAAGAGAGCTTAAAAGCATTTGAAGTTCACTTTTCTCTTCTATACCTTTGGAGGTAGTTGAGGAAAATAAAATTATTGATTTTTAGTTGCCCTTAGAGATAAACTAATTTATATTTCATCACTTGTTCAACATTTAAAAAGAAAAAATTTTAGAGTGTTCTATAAGACTTCACACCCATTGATATAATTCAGTGTGGTATTATTCTTTATAGCACATATGTAAAGCACATAGCCCAATCATTTATTAAACATTTATGGAACACCTGTCATATCCAAGCACTGTTCTGTACTCTAGGATTATATCAGCAAACAAAACAGGCGAAATTGCTTATGTTTATGGAACTCATATTATAAGGTGACACTGAAAATAAAATGGTATTCAGGACAGACATCGTCTCTGCTCTCAAAACAAACGAAGTCTAGGTAGAAGTATACAGGCCATAGGTGGACAGGCCATGTGATAAGTGGAAAGATAGAGAAGTTCAGATTACTGTAAGGGACATCTAATTGTGACTCAAGTGAGTCTAGCAAAGATTCACAGATAAAAGTATTTTAGTAGGAATAATCTAGGTGAAGAAAAGGGCAGGGAAGAATATTGTAGGCCAAGGGCGAATATGTATGTGAAAGAGCCAGAGGAAAGAGTGTGGCAGGCTTGGGGAACTGACAGTAGTTCGTTCTGGTTGGATCACAGTGTTCAAGTTAACAATGGGATAGGTGCTTTTCCATGGGCAGTATTGAGAGGCACTGAGAATGGGCTAGCATTTGACATAACCATTGTAGGCTGTCCTACAGTACACCTCTAACAAAACCAGGCTGTCCCAAATCCCTGGTAATAGAATTGTTTATACTAAGAAGGTTGGGAAAGCAGCAGAATCTACATGTGGAATATGCCCGGGCCAACTTCGAGGAATTCGCTGTGACCTAAAGTTCTTACCAGGTTGTCTAAAATGAAGGAATATATCAGCTGGGCTTATGGTGGTTCTGTGTGTGTTATATGTGTCCATGACAGAATCAAGCACACTGTCCTTATTGACTAGGAAATCGTGAAAGTGTTGAAAGCACAGTCAGAAAGTTAAATTTAAAAATGAAGCTTTTTTTTAGTAATAAAAAAAAATCAAGAAGCCTTAAAAAAAAATGGGTTAGTAGATGAGGCTGACAAAACATGGTCCACTGGAGAAGGAAATGGCAAACCACTTAAGTATTCTTGCCATGAGAACCCCCTGAACAGTGTGAAGAGGCAAAAAGATAGGACATGAAAGATGAACTCCCCAGGTCAGTAGGTACCCACTATGCTACTGGAGAACAGAGAAATAACTCCAGAAAGAATGAGGAGAAGGAGCCAAACCAAAAACACCACCCAGTTGTGGATATGACTGGTGATGGAAGTAAAGACTGATGCTGTAAAGAACAATATCACACAGGAACCTGGAATGTTAGGTCCATGAATTAAGGTAAATTAGACGTGGTCAGACAGAAGCTGGCAAGAGTGAACACCGACATTTTAGGAATTTGTGAACTAAAATGGACTGGAATGGGTGATTGAACTGAGATGACCATTATATCCACTACTGTGAGTAAAAAAAATCCTTAGAAGAAATGGAGTAGCCCTCATAGTCAACAAAAGAGTCCAAAATGCAGTACTTGGATGCAATCTGAAAAACGACAGAATGGTTTCTGTTCGTTTCCAAGGCAAACCATTCAGTACCACAGTAATCCAAGTCTGTGCCCCAACCAGTAATGCTGAAGAAGCTGAAGTTGGATGGTTCTATGAAGACCACAAAACCTTCTAGAACTAATACCAAAAAAAGGTGTCCTTTTCATTATAGGGGACTGAAATAAATGCAAAACTAGGAAGTTAAGAGATTCCAGGAGGCTTTTTGTGCTGCTATCGCTCTTGCAAACATGGTGAACGTGCCAGAAAGCCGCCGGACTTAATGTAAGAAGTGTGGGAAGCACCAGCCATGCAAAGTGACGCAGTACAAGAAGGGCAGGGATTCTTTATATGCCCAGGGAAAGCGGCATTATGACAGGAAGCAGAGTGGCTGTGGTGGGCAGACTAAGCTGATTATCTGGAAAAAGGCTAAAACTACAGAGAAGATTGCACTGAGGCTTGAATGTGTTGAGCCCAACTGTAGATTGAAGAGAATGCTGGCTATTAAGAGATGCAAACATTTTGAGTTGGGAGGCAATAAGAAGAGAAAGGGACAAGTGATCCAATTTTGAGCTTCATATTTTGTTTTATTATGAAGACAACAAACGTTTGAGATCATTTACTTAAAAAAAAAAAAAAGATTCCAGGAATAGCAGACAAATTTGGCCTTGGGGGTACAAAATGAAGCAGGGCAAAGGCTGACAAGACTTTTGCCAAGAGAATGCACTGGTCATAGCAAGTACCCTCTTCCAACAACACAAAGATGACTCTATACACGGACAACACCAGATGGTCAATATTGAAATAAGATTGATTATATTCTTTGCCGCCGAAGATGGAGAAGCTCTATACAGTCAGCAAAAACAAGACTGGGAGCTGACTATGGCTCAGATCATGAACTCCTTTTTGCCAAATTCAGACTTAAGTTGAAAAAAGTAGGAAAACCACTAGATCATTCAGGTATGACCTAAATCATATACCTTCTGATTATACAGTGGAAGTGAGAAATAGACTCAAGGGATTAGATCTGATAGCCTGATGAACTATGGACGGAGGTTCATGACATTGTACAGGAGACAGGGATCAAGACCATCCCCAAGAAGAAAATGTAAAAAAGCCAAATGGCTGCCTGAAGAGGCCTTACAAATAGCTATGAAAAGAAGAGAAGCAAAAAGAAAAGGAAAGATATACCCATTTGAATGCAGAGTTCCAGAGAAAAGCAAGGAGAGGTAAGAAAGCCTTCCTCCATGCTCAGTGCAAAGAAATAGAGGAAAACAATAGAATTGTAAAGACTAGACATCTCTTCAAGAAAATTAGAGATACCAAGGAAACATTTCATGCAAAGGTGTGTTTGATAAAGGACAGAAATGGTATGGACCTAACAGAAGCAGGAGATATTAAGAAGAGGTGGCAAGAATACACAGAAGAGCTACAGAAAAAAGATCTTAATGACCCAGATAACCATGATGGTGTGATCACTCACCTAGAGCCAGGCATCCTGGAATGTGAAGTCAAGTGGGCCTTAGGAAGCATCACTACGAGGAAAGCTAGTGGAGGTGATGGAATTCCAGTTGAGCTATTTCAAATCCTAAAAGATGATACTGGTGACTGCAGCCATGAAATTAAAAGATACTTCCTCCTTGGAAGAAAAGCTATAACCAACCTAGACAGCATATTAAAAAGCAGAGACATTATTTTGCCAACAAAAGTCTGTCTAGTCAAAGCAATGGTTTTTCCACTAGTCATGTATGGATGTGAGAGTTGGACTATAAAGAAAGCTGAACAGCTAAGAATTGATGCTTTTGAACTGTGGTATTGGAGAAGTCTCTTGAGAGTCCCTTGGACTGCAAGGAGATCCAATCAGTCCATCCTAAAGGAAATCAGCCCTGAATATTCATTAGAAGGACTGATGCTGAAGCTGAAACTCCCATACTTTGGCCACCTGATGCAAAGAACTGACTCATTTGAAAAGACCCTGATGCTGGTAAAGATTGAAGGCAGGAGGGGAAGGGGACGACAGTGGATGAGATGGTTGGATGGTATCACCAACTTGATGGACATAAGCTTGAGTAAACTCCTGGAGTTGGTAATGGACAGGGAAGCCTGGCACACTGCAGTCCATGGGGTCACAGAGTTGGACACGACTGAGCAACTGAGCTGACCTGAACTGAGATGAGGCTAGAATAATGAAGCAGTGTTATTTCATGAATGCCCTTTAAGTAATGAGGAGTTTGAGATTTATATAATGAGGAACCATGAAAGCAGGGGAGTCATATGTAACATTTGAAAGAGGAATACCAAGAGAATTTATTTCAAGGAATAAGGAGAAAAAATTAAAAACCCTCATCACTTTGGTTTTCCTTTCTGCATATTAATCCTTCAAAACTAGGCATAGAACAAACTTAGTCACTTCCACAAAACCAATTTTAAGCCCACGGAGCCTAGTACCTCCTGTTCATATTGTCCTGATGTTCTAGCAGTGCAGCATAGGGGTTGCTGTTAAAATCATTCATCCTTGCATTCTCCTTAAAGCCATTCAAATGCTTGGAACTCAGCCATTCAGACAAAATCTAGTCATTGATGCTCTGAGATAGGTACTATTATTATCCACATACAGATGAGGAATCAGAAGAACTGGTTATAAGATTAGTAAATTTATTTTTTAATAGTGGGAAAGTTTACGTATTGTGCTATAGTGGCAGGAGGTCTAGAGTTTTGTTTTAATTTAGCAATAAAAGTTCTTAGCAGGTGAAGATGGTCTTTCGGGGTTTTTCTGTTTGGTGTTTTGTTGTTTTTCTTTTTACATTAATTCCCCAAAATTAACATCAGTAGAACTCAGTGGCTAAACAAAAGTTAATTATACTGGTAAGTTTAAAAGTAAAATTCCGTGGTTAAACATTTAAAAAATCCTGTCTAGATATACAAACACATCTGTGTTGAGAGAGCTTATCTTTTTTCTTTCCTCCCTCCAAAAATGTATATATAGGCTTCATTCACTGAGGAAGGGATGCTCAGAAATGTGTTCTTAACTTCAGAGTGAAACTTGAATTAGAAATTAGTTCTTTTTATCATTAGAACTCTTTTACCCATCAGAGAAACA